CACCTGCTTTTCAACGAAGTACATTAGATGGTTTTTCTCGCGGGAATCGACCGGTCCCGGAAGGTAGAAGATGTTAGCGAGTATTTTTGAAAAGCGTAAGCAACACTTCAGTAATGAGCATGAGGAAAGTGGCTACAGGTTAGAAAGCAGCAGAGGTCAGAGCGATGCAGAAAAGGTGAGCGTCGCACCGACGTCATAGTCGGCGACGGAACAAGCGATGGAGCGTATCGCGATCGCGTGCATCGCTTGTCCGTTGCTTGCGCCAATCGCTCTCGTCGAGCGATTGGCAAGCGATTGCGCAATGTGCAACAAGCGACGGGCGATTGCCCCGCCCCCAGTCAACGCAGTCGCTGCGGTATCGAGGCAGAGTCATTGCCCGTCGCTTGTGCACTTTGCAAGCGATTGCGCAATCGCCTTGCTAATCGCTCGACAAAGAGCCGATTGGCAAGAGAGGACAAGCGATGGAGCGATCGCGATCGCTCCATCGCTTGTTCCGTCGCCGACTATGACACGTCGTCTAACGCTTGAAATACACAATCTAATAACCCCTAACGACAACTCTCTGATGTGCAGAGGAAAAACGAAGTTGAAAAATGTCGAGAGCATGTTCTTCATTATGGTAGTCTTCACTCAAATATTTGTCAGAAACTCCGAAGGATATTAGAGCAGACCAAAGGAATTTAAGGACCTGGCGCAGCAAGAAATCAAAATTGGGACCGCCACTTTACCTTCTATGTTAGTTCTATAGAAATATGATAAAAACTCAAGCTTAATGTTACCCAGAATAGAAATGTAGGAAAGGTGTGGTCAGCTGGTTTATTTGAAACGATTGGATTCATCAACAAGACGGTGTGCTAGTTCACAGATTGAATTTTGTGGGTTCCATGCCAAGCCCATTTGTGCCACTTCACGTTATCGAAAATTGGTCAGCCGAATTCCCACGTTTGACTCTCCAATGTGGACAACACATAAGCTGGGAGCAGCTTGAAAAAACACAGTTTGAACGCTGATCGCTGAATGCTGTTATAAAAGAAGGATAAGGCGAAATTCTTGAGGCTCTTATGCGACAGGGGGAGATGGTCTGAGTCCATCTCTAAAGTTGTTAGGTTCATGAAATTCCGAAAGAATAAGACTATCACTATTTGTTGTATATGGTTGAACATTGCTATAGCTCATATCCACTCTCAGCCCATGCAATTGGAAATGGTCTACAACTTCTGTCATTTCTGTCACCAGTTTTGTACACCTCGTGGGGAGGGGGGGGGGGCATCTGCCACGGAGCACCTAGAACATCCGAAGGCGTCAAAAACATCTCCACTTTCAAACTCGCTTAGTCTCCTTTCTGCAAAGGCAAACTGGTTCAACTATCCTGAACCTCCTCTAATTGTAAGTACAAAAATGGGATTATTTTGCGCCACATTGCCCCCAACTACTTTTGCGTCCTTAGTTTATTTTTGGGTGATTTCGCGATAAACCAACCCGTCACACTCAATAAGTGGAACCCAGAAATTGAAAACACGATGCCCCTAAATGAAAGCGCGTCAGTCAGCTGGAACGCCACTCTACTGGAAAATATATACATATGGAACTTAGGCCAAGTCTCCTTCTTCTTGAACTAGAAACGACGACTTTTTGGCCCACCAAAACACCTTGTGAATTGTAGTGCTTCGCAGTATATATTATGCTTAGCCTTAGTTATGAGTAATTCTTTTTTCCGCCATGAGAACAAGACATGTACGGTAAAAAGCGGTGCCACGTTCCGCGTTTTGCTCTAAAATGTTAACAATTTTTGGTCGTTACCACCTCCGAGGAATACAGTAACTATAACGAGGCTTGCCTCAAATAAATCTTTACTACTTAAGAATCGCATCACAAAGAAGAAGAAAATCTGGGAAAAGAGTAGGGCAGCAAGGGAATGAAAATGCAGACGGACGAGTAAAAAGGCCGACGCGTCGATACGGCCTGCCGCTGATTCGAATTTGCCGCGTTGCGATATCCGTGCGGGATTCCCGACATGTGCAAATATAGCCACACTGTCAGAAGCTTCATCCAACGATTTCTATTTGAAGAAGTTAATCAGAATGGTAAATGTCCTCGAACTACAGAACGCCAGAAAATACATAAGCTTGTTCTCGTGCAAATATTTGCGGGCACGCGACGCGTCTGCCCGCTCCCACCACAATCTCACGCGCAGCATTTCGGGAAGTTGATTTGCATTTGAATGATGATTCCTTTGTCGGAGATCAATGTAAATATTGATCGAGGAAAGTAGTAGATGCGACCAGCCGAAGGCGGTCGGTCTGACGGGGGCGGCACCGCTTTCGCAGTTCATACGCGTTCAACAGTGAAAAAGTGGCCGTCGCGCATTTTCGCGGCGACATTTCCCGCTGTTCTCATCGTGCACATTGATTCGTAGGCGTTTCAGAACTCTAGTGGTCGATTTTATATGATTATTGATTCCTAGTTATAAAGAAGTTGCTCCATTAATAGGCCTGCCAATCAACTCATGTCATGCGTTGTGCAATTCGTCACCCCCGAAATTGCGGGAAACGTCGTCTCTTGCTTCCGATTCGACGCTAGTCGCCTCAATTTCTTCTTTCTGATGCTTTTTCCGAGATGTGTCTGCCATCACTTTTATTGACACCGAAATTGTCGAGAAACAATCGTTACAACAGCCGAATGAATCACTAAAAAGCTGCAGCTTTTACGAGGGTCCATAAAAATAGCTCTTCTAAAATATTGTGAAATTCCCAGTCCTGATGGATGTTCATGGAATTGAATTGCTTTCTGCCGACTCACTGAATCACTCTTGGTTGCCACTACTAGCTCTACACTGCAGTTAACGCAGGCAGCTTGAAGGATTCGATCAGTTAAAGAAATAAACTAATTACTTTTCTTTGCAATTTTTTGACATACTATTGAGCTTAAGTTCTTATTTGACTTATTGTATCATTTTGAAAGATTATTACTTCCTTTTTTTCATACCTTTTCACTCATATTATTCTCGCACTGCGAACCCGGTTTTCCAGTGTTTAATTCCAGGAGCTCTCTTTAAAAATAAGAAGCAGTCTTTCAAAGACGATATACAATTTCCACATTTCATTTGTAACAGCCTGTTGGGTAGAAAAATGATGACGCATCCATGAAAAGCCTAAAGCCTGTACCCAGGTATCCTAATTAGAAGCAGCTTGCAAAAATCGAGACGAAAATTAGTTCTTCCCATTTTGCAAATGTCGCGCTCTCACGCCAATTTAAAGGTGGTATTGTACGGTGGCGGGTCAAATCATTGAACCTCCACTTCAAACTTGTTCTCGTCATTTCGACCTTTGTTGTTGAGTTAGAGAACATTGACCTTGGCTCTATTCCACCCGAATGAAATATAGTTCTTTGCTGGCAGAAGTTGGTCCCATCAGTGGCAGGTCTAAAATGTTCGGAAGTAACAGTAACATTGGTGCTCATCGGTTTCTCACACAGTTAAATGCTTTATGTAAATATCATTTTGCCATCAATCCCTTTTCACCACAGAGAAGGGAAAGCTTTGAGTTCAAGGTCAACCGTGGCAGGGGTCTCGTTCTTTCGTAATAACCCAAAAAGTGCAATGTGGGTTCAAATGTGTTTGCGAAATATTGCACACCTCATGTGCACACACAAGGGATGACTGCGCGCATTTGATGGTATTGAGTAGAGTTGTTTGTTACCTGAATTGGTCGTGCTTCATTTACAGGCTTAAGGAAACTTTGAAATGCATTTGGTTTTGTATTTCGAATTTCAGGAAACTGTCTAGATACTGTTTTTTACTATCATTCTCGATTTACAGTTAAATTAATAGAAATTGCTATTAGTCCAGCTTCTTACAGGTTCCTTCTAAGCACGTCATTGGTCTTAGTTGTCCTATTTGCTGCATTTCGTAAATCACAACATCACACTTTTTTGAGAAGTAGGGACTGGTGTAAATCTATCCTGGGGTCGTAAGGTATGCTTCCTCTAACAGGAGAGGGACCCCTTCTGGCAAGGCATGCCTTTTCCCGAAAACTCGAGGAAAGGCAATGCCACCGCTTCTCGGGGATGCCTCCCGGCTGCGTGTCAATCGCGGAGATGCGTACCTTGCTAGGGAAGTGTCCCTCTCCTGTTCAGGGAGGGATACCATACGACGGCATACCTAATGAAAGCATGCCTTATGCGGTTTACGGACTACTTGATTTTTCCTCAGTGGTCCTGCCGCGATGGCTAGAGCACAGACGATTAGAGAATGCCCTAGAACTAAGCCTGGTAGAGGAGAGGGACCCGAAAGAGAGCGCAGAGGGGGTAAAGGGCAGAGTGCAAGTAGTTCGTCAACCGCCTTATGCCCACGTACTTCAAGCTACGCGTTTGAGTCCGAAGTATTTTCTTGTACTAACGCTTTTTTCAAAGGCCAAGATTTAAGGAGAAGGAGAGACTTCTAGGTGCATGGGTCTCAAACTGAAAACTAGTTACAAGCCTTATTAGGCCGACGCGTCTCCTCCATCCCAGGGTAAGCCCCCTAGGCCCCCTAGGGTTAGTCGAAGTGCCCTCCCTTCCCTGTCTCTCCGTTTCTTCTCTGCAATTTTGTGCGAGTGCAGGGTTATGCCTTCCGAGTACCAGAATTGACCTCGATATAAGGTACCGTTCAGGGGAGTGTGTCGTTTTATTGCGTGGAATGGCTTCATTGCATATTCTGATGTGGATTCAGATCCTGCCTTCGCCAATTTAGGAACAATGTTGATAGAATTTCTTACTATGCATTTTCTGCTTTCAGATATTTAATGTGCAGGGTTATGCTCTTCCGAGTACCAGAATTGACCTCGATATAAAGGTACCGTTCAGGGAGTGTGTCGTTTTATTGCGTGGAATGGCTTCATTGCATATTCTGATGTGGATTCAGATCCTGCCTTTCGCAATTTAGGAAACATGTTGATAGAAATTCTTACTATGCATTTTCTGCTTTCAGATATTTAATGCTAATTAACTTTACTGTTTGACTGGACGATCTTCTGTCAGTCGCGTTGAGTGAAGCGGGTCTTGAAGAATTTCTCACTGCTGCACCGCCAACGTCAGAATCTCTGCCCACTTCTGCACCTGGGTAACTTCACCTTCTTTTATCATAAGAGCAGTCAGGCCTATGTTCACTAGACCGTTTGATTTCGAAAGAGTTTGAGGTTATTCACCTCGACAATTCTATTAAATGCGATCAATAAAAGAATTGTTTTGACAGGAGTGGAGTGCATTTCATTTTGAACAAAAAGCATTATAAACAATTTGAACAAAAAGCATTATAAACAAACTCGTGTTTTGTAATGTGAAAAGTTTGTTTTGAAGGTCATCAGATAGTACAGAAGTTTCTTCGTCTCCTTCCACGTCCACGTCGAATGTGAAAGCAACCACCTCCACGTTTCCTTCCTCAAACAGTTCCTCTAAAGAGCAAAATGAAGAGAGTTCACACTTTGAGGCACCTCCCGATGCAGTTCCGCCTGAGGATAATCATGGTAACATTTATCGTGTCGAAGTGTGGTTTTAGGATCAAGCTTTTTTACTGTGCATGTTGAATGCGTAATTTGTTTTCAGTTGAACTGTCGTTACCTTCAACTTCGGCTGTCTCATCAGTTGCGCAAAATTCTGGAGTTGGTGTGGTGAGAAATGTACCCGCCAACGTTCCCAGTCGACAAACCAGTGCTCCTTTGAAACCAGGATCTTCTCCGGGCACCCCGAAGCAAGTCAGGTAGCTTAAAACTCAGCCACTCCTATATTGCACCAAGATACGATCCAATTCAAGGAGCAAGACTATCCTACATTTCAGGCAAGTGTACACTGCCAGTCCGACGGGCGGGCAGATCTTTCGTCAGGTAGTGCAAACACCTGATGGGCCCAGGACACAATTACTACGTCCATTCATTAATGTAACCTTCGTTTTTGAAGAAAGTAGAGAAAGTGAAAACAGGCTGCAGTTCATTAACTTCATACCTTTAAGGAACATGGTCAAACTGTTTACCGTGCAGTGCGCACGGTGCCTGCTACCAAAGCGGCGGATGCCAGAAATAGGTCTCTCGTTGTTAGGAATGTTAATGGAAGCCCAGGAGTTGTCAATAACTTCGAACGGCAAAATCCCTCACCGGATACAGTCAAGGAGCCTCAACGGATAGTTGTTATTCGCCAAAATACTCCATCGGGTACGTGCTGGCAATTTTTATTACATTGTGAACAAAATACCGTGCAGTGCGCAAGTCCCAACTATGCTGTGCGAAGGGTTTCTTGATTGCCTTTGTTGCTTCCATGTAGTTGTACGGATTTATATAGATTTATATTTTAAGGTCCAGTTTTGATACGAAAACCCATCCCAGCTGGCATGCCTTTATCGCAGGCCTTAAGCACAGCCACGAATGGTGGAATAGTCAGGAAGTTTGTACCACGTGGAAGTATAAGCAGGAGTCCAGTAACAACTCGAGAAGTATTGTAAGTCTGTTTGGACTTTATTCTGTTTTCCACAATTTCTTCATACTGGAGTTCTTGCTTTATATGCTTTTGGAATACTACCTATGTGAAACATTTTGAAAGTTTATATTACGATTCGTGAAGTCTAGGCGTTATATTCGCTCAAACGAGCATGATCTAACTTTTCGACGGAGATGCGCTTGTATCGTCAACGCTAAAGAAGGCATGATCGTTGCAGGTCCCATGGTGCAGTGTCATCGCCGAGTCATGTACAATATCGAAGTCCAGCAAGATACTTGGCTACGTGTTCTCCCAGTTCGTCAGTCCCATTTGCCAGTGGTTCTCTGCGAGGCTCCCGCGGAGCAATTCGTGGAAGTCCAGTTTCTCGAGTAGCAAGCGTGAGAGGTACGTATTTTTGTCGGCAAAGCAGATATTGTTGCGTGTTCTGTTTGCAGATTATTTCTCTCAGGGTATACAGTACGTCCTGCTACTGCTTACTCAACCACAGCCTCTAACGCTTCGTCTTGGAATGGAGCCAAACCTTCTTCTTCAGCGTATGTGGGCTTCTCAGAAGCTGCTGGTGATGCATCTGCACGGGTAAAGAGTCTTTCGTTGTTTGTTACCCAGTCATGCGCTACTGTTCTCACGGAATAGAGTTAAGAGAAGAGGTTTCAGGCAACTAACCGCGAATCTGATGTAGTATTCGAGCACCACAATGTATCTGCTCAGAAACTTACACAACAGGTTGGGTTGTACCTTTCGATCACTAAGACGCATTACATTGGTTGCTTTTCGTCAACATTTCTTCGTTTTCAGTATCCCGCTTCTTCACCTCGCTCTACAACAATAAAATCTGGGGAGATGGTGCGTCGACCTCACCCTGCTTTAGTTAGTTCGTCGTCCGCAACTCTACTGCAGCGCAAAGCGTCAAATCAAACGGCAAGAGGCGCACCGGTCGTTGGCGCTGCTATAGCGTCGTCTGTTGGTGCTTTTGAACATCTGGATGTGACGAAAATGTTGTCCACGAGCTCACCAGTACCCACCAATAGACCGCCTCTGAGCGTGAGTCATCCATATTCGATGAATACTCTTTCTTGAATCACGCAAACTGCAACTGTAAAACACTTTTGATGGCTCTTTTCAGTCTTCGTTACCTGTTCCGACTGCACCCCCACCGAAAGCGTACTCGAAATCGCAAAAAGCCAAAGACGAAATGAAACTGGCTCATCAGACAGCTACTGAGAAACGCTCCGAAATAGACGAGGATGTTCGTCCTGTAGCCATTGTGACATTGTATCAATTTCTCATGTTTGACCATTTTCAGGAAGAGAATCTTGGCTATGCGGAGACGTACGCGGACTATGTTCCTGCCAAACTTCGTTCAGGTGTCGCCCATCCTGACTGTGTGGTTGAAACAGCGTCACTTAGTAGTGTAGCCCCGCCTGACGTAAAATATCAAATCAGCATTCCGGAATACGTAAGCCTTAACGTATTTTTATTATTACTTCAGTCTGTAGTCATTCATCTCAATTCTAGCTCATCGATAATGGCTCTATATCTGCCTTACAACTGGAGGCCGTTATATATGCGTGCCAAATGCACCAGCAACGACTTCCTAGTGGAGAAAGGATAGGATATTTGATAGGTTGGAAATAGTCTTTTCATTATTGCGCCGTTGTTTTGCATTGATGGGTACAATCACATTTAAGGTGACGGAGCTGGTGTCGGGAAGGGACGAACCGTAGCAGCAATAATTTTTGAGAACTATCTATTGGGTCGAAAGCGTTCCATATGGTTATCTGTGTCTTCTGATCTGAAATATGATGCTGAAAGAGATTTACGAGACATAGGTGCCGGCAATATAATGGTGAGAAATATAGCTGAAATTATTTCGGAGCGTCATTTATGAAACTTGTGTTTTCTGTGAATGAATCGGACTTCTGGTTTGTATTAACCATCAAAATCTATTATTGCATGTGCGCATTAAAATACGTGATTAAGCAATGCAGTATCGCAATTCATAGGCAGTAAATCTGAGGCCTAACTATAATATTATATATTGTACTTTTCTTCGGGAATTACAGGTTATCTTTTTCAGGTGTATGCTCTGAATAAATTGAAATATGCCAAAATCTCAGGCAAGGAGAATGGAAACATCAAGAAAGGGGTAATATTTGCCACTTACTCGTCTCTTATCGGTGAATGTAGAGGAGCTAGAGTCAAGTATCGAAGCCGTCTGAAGCAACTCATCCAGTGGTTTGGCGTGGTGAGCATCATTGTTCTGAATAATTCCACGTGACGGATAATACTGGATTCTGAACGTGATTTAAACTAGGATTATGACGGAGTTATTATTCTGGATGAATGTCATCGTGCAAAAAATTTGGTGCCAAGTACGGGTGCGAAGCCGACAAAAACAGGCCGAATGGTTCTTGAACTGCAAAAGGCTTTGCCTAATGCTCGAGTCGTTTATGCTTCGGCTACAGGCGCGACTGGTTAGTTCTACATTTTCTTGTTGTTTCCTTTCTGCATATGTTCCGTTTTCTTAACATCTGTAAAGCACATGCCACCTTTTAAAGCAGATTTTAGACGCGACTAATCCTGTTTAATGTTTAAATTTATAGAACCACGTAATATGGCATACATGACGCGACTTGGTCTGTGGGGTATGGGGCAGGCTTTTCCTGAGTTCATCAACTTCATAAACGCGGTTGAGCGAAGAGGTGTTGGTGCGATGGAGATCGTTGCGATGGATATGAAGGTAATCCGTCGTTTGCTATTCTCTTCTTTATCATCTTACTTATCTCCAATTTTCTGTTTAAATCTTGGGTAGGAGCTTAATATTGTCCCCATTAGAGTGAAATATTTACAGCAACGAGGCCTTTATCTTGCCCGTCAGCTTTCCTTCCGTGGAGTCTCCTTCAACGTTCAAGAAGTTCCTCTTTCCGACGAGTTCATCAAGGTCTATGATGATTCTGTGAAGTTATGGCTTGAATGTCGTCGACAGTTCCAAGTTAGTGAATTGCTGTACCTCTAACTATGCATCAATACCATTTCATGCGATTTCAGGTTGTGCTGAGCGCCATGTCAGGCGAAGAACGATCATCCTGTAAGCAACTCTGGGGACAGTTTTGGGCAAGCCATCAGCGATTCTTCAAGTATCTTTGTATTGCTGCTAAGGTATTAGAATTTTTATTATTGTTACTTTTGTTTTGTGCTCTTACTGGTTTTAGTGAAGCTTTAGGGTAAATAAGTTTCCGTCGGAGAAACCACGATCGCTCCCTAAAACCTAGGATTTGTCTAGTTCAGCATAAAATTGGTTAACGCTAATTGATCAGACTCGAGCAAATTTTATTTATGTGGATTTGTGTCGTCAGATGGCTCCTGTGGGCGTTCGTTGCGACAAGATGTTTGCTGTTCCGCCGCGGGTTTTTTTTTCGTCAGCAAACGAAATATCGTGGCTCAGATCTACAGCTCAGATTCCACGCGTTGCCTTATAAATGTTGTAAAGACAACGCCTTTGGCTATTTCTTTGTTGAAGAGTGTTCTTTGTTGGAGAGTGTTGCGCACTAAAAAGAACAGTCTTCGTGGCGGATGGCCGTGGGATAGAGAGCGATGGAAATAATCCTGTCAAGTCGCTGTGGGCGTAAGCTCTAAAGAAAAGGATCGCACTAATATTTTAAGATTTTGACCACGTGTGCAGTCACCTTGCTTTATGTGCCTCGCTTTTGTCCCAGTGCTTTGCAAAATGGCCGGCGATTTTACGTAGTTGTTGTAGAGGTCAGCAAATATGGGAAATTTGGGAATGAGGTGTTTGCTAAAGAGGTAAAATGCGTTCATATGTAGCATAGTTACGATGACGTGCGTTTAATACACTATGGTTGACGGTCGTCGAGATTCAGAGATACTATCCTTGAAATTTACGTTGCTCAACTCCAATTTTAGGTGCTTAAGTGCTGTGTATAGAGGCCATTCTTTTCTTCGAAAGGCGAGGTTTGGCAGTTTGTTTTTGTTGGCAGGGGGTGCACATCCACACTACTGAATTGCTTCAGTTCTTCGCAGGTCAAGAGCTTTTTCAAGTAATTCTGGTGGATATTAAATTCGTACTTTTTTTACGTTTGCTGATGAAATTTCGCGTCGTTTGTAGGTTAAAGCGGATGAGCAGATGAGTGAGGCGATACTTACTCTCTTATTTTCGGTATGCACAAGGAAACGATGTAAGGATGGTGTTCTAAGTTGTAGAAGCCGACATTCAGCAATAAGACTGAATAATAATATGAGAAGCCAGAGAGCTTTCTCTTCTTCATTTTTCTTTCTGTTGTTTCTATGTCATGATAAGAACTGTTCAAGATTTTTCACTTTCTTCGAATGAATGTTGGTTCAGAATACGATCTTTTTTCCTGACATCTGAGGTTTAGGTGGATACATGTGTACAAATGGCTCGAGAAGCTATCAAGGCCAACAAGTGTGTAGTTATTGGTCTGCAATCCACCGGTGAAGCGCGAACATTAGAAACTCTGGAGGAGATGGGTGGTGAGCTCACGGAATTCGTCTCCACAGCCAAGTTCGTCTCCTTTAATGTTGTTCTATGTAGTTTCAACACAACTTGATGTGATTCAGGGCTGTGCTGCAAGGATTGATTGAAAGGCACTTCCCAACGGATGTCGGCAGCGTAGACATCTACGGAGATTTTGACCTAGTCGATGATCTTGACAGAGGAAGGCAACGAAGTATGGTTTTCTCTATGACCATTTTTCAAGTAAATTCGCCCATATAGTTGAATCCTTCGCAGGGCTAAGGAAAAATGAATACGACTTTATGGATAATCTTGGATTTGGATCGTCTTGGTCACGAAGCTCGCCAAGTCCTTTCAATGAGCCACGCGTAAGTAGTTTTGAGCTTGGGTCACTCTCCTCTGTTGAACCAGTGGTATTTAAAGCAACAGTTCAGGGAGGGTCCGAAAATTTCAATGCCACTACTACTGAGGGATCCACGAGCCCTAGTGAAGAACACATGCAGTGGACATAATAAACGAACTTACCTCAGAAATCAAAAACAGGGTGGAAAGTCCCTCAAACATGGGTGTTCTTGGGAATTTCCCCAATCCCGCCCCCTTGCCGGCCGTCATCGGACGCGTCGGCAATCGTGCTCGTTTTGGGACCACAGGGAAAATTGATTGAAAAATGGAGCGCATTTACAGCGGGCACGTTCAAACAACTCGTCCAACGTGCGCCTTTATCCATTGCTGAGCGGCAGAGGGAGAGTACCTGTCTAAGACCCTCCCCGACGTTTTTTTCCAGTTTTTCATAAATTAATCGTCTGGTTTTTATCTACAACTTCATTATTGGTGGTTTTTTTCCCGCGAAACCGTTCCTGAGCTGTGCTTTAATCCAGGCCAAAAAACCACGAAATGACGAAGATCAGAACTCTACAACATCATCGTCAGACGGGGATGATTATGGTGACTTGGATCAAGACTCGGGTCTAGAAGAGGAACCAGACGGTTCTGAGGCGGAATCGAATCTTGGAGGTAGAAATTGTAATTTGTATTAGTCATTCCTTGTTTTATCACAGTTCTATAATTAGATAACGGTGATGACTGGCTGAAGGCGCTTCTTGCCGAAGTAGCATCGTCTAGTGAATCCGAAGATGATGATCCCACAGACCAGCAGCATGAGACTGCCAATGGAAACGAGGTAATCTTGACTTTGCTACTCTAGTGTAAGATGCTTCTTGTTTTGCCATGTTCGGCTCACTATTATCCTCGCCATATAAGAGTAAGATGATAGTTCTTATTAGATGAGGGATGGCGCTTTGTGAATGAACGACCAAATACCACACCATAAATTCGATCCTCAACATCCATCATCCAACTCCAGGGAATGAATTTCCCTTCTTTTATCAGATTCCTAGATCAGCCAACGGTAACCACAGTATCGCAAGCCCTCGAAAGGGTCACGTTCAGAGTCGATTGGAGTGCTAGTCTTATACCAAACAAGTTTTGTGACGGAGAGCGCAAAGAACTTGAACAGTTTAGAAGAATCTGAAAGCCAGACCGAGAGAGCAATGATCATTTATTACGCGGGAATTAATTCCGTATATGCATGATATTTGATATACGGGGCTCTCTCCCGCGTTATAGATGAGCATTGGGTCGGTCCAGCTTTCAGATTCCTTAAATTGTTCAAGTTCTTTGCAGCTCTCCTTCACCATACTTATTTGCTATTAGATTCGTTATTGTTGAATTATATTTTGCCTTAGGTGAAGTCTATCACCCACTTACGCTGTCTTTTTGCATAACTTGAGGTAATTGTGCGGCCTGCACGAAGATCCAGACAGGTGTTGCACCCCCTCGGGGATGTGACCCCTATCATCCGTATAGGGGCTAGCATTCCAGCCGAGTCTGCTTCGACGCTTTCGAGGACTTTTGATACTGTGATTGTCGTTGGCCGATCTGGGGTCTGATAAAGGAGCGGGACTTTGTTCCGTGGGGTTTGGGTGATGGATTAGTTGATGTAGAAGCTCGAGTAGGTGAGTGAGATGTTTGGTCGTTTGTTTACAAAGCGACATCCCTCCTTAAAGCGATATTGTCGAAATGTCAGCCAATAAAGATCACGGATAACAGCCTCATGAGCGCTTCAAACAAGAACTATCGACTCTTTGTCACTTTTTAATTCACATCAAAAATAAGTAAATTATTTTGAAGAGTGGTAATGAACAAAGAACAAGTGGTGGAGAAGAAGAATTCAATCCGTTCAATTGTGACTTCACAGGTACGTTTTGCTTGTCGTCATTTAACGAAAAATATGTTGGTTATAAGCTTTTTTTGTCCAGATGATCCGTGGGCCTCAAGCAGCAAGTTGTAGAAGACTCCCCAAGAAAACAGAATCAGGTTTGAAATGATGACCCTTCAGTTACTAAGAAATGCTATATGTGTACGTTTAGGCCAAGCAGTCCCAGCAGTTAGAAGAGCTCCGCTTGCGACGTCGCGAAAGAAGGAAACGTCGAAAGAAGCGAATGAAAAAAGCAGCAAGAGAAGCGGAAATGAAGCGGCGTAGAGAGTTTGACAGCGAAGCAATGGTAAGTAGGATTTGCTTTGTTTTCGTTTCGATCGTTGTAACAAAATTTCCATTTTACGAAACAAAAGCTGCTGGGCTCAGGAATGAGTAGATATAGAAAAAGGAAAATTCTCGAGATTTCGTGACCCAGGTAACAAGGTGCATCCAGACATTGATTGTTTGCCCAGCCCAAGCGCGCTCCGATATGATGTATTAGGGGTTTCACTGATTTCTGCCGCTGAAAATAGGGGTTGCACTGATTTCTGCCGCTGAAAATATAGGCAGCCTGAAGTGAAGCATGTTTTGCACATCTTTTAGGCCTCAGATATTACGCACCAAATTGCTATCATTAAACATGTTCCCTGATCTAGCAGCACAATTTTGGAAGAATAAAGGGTAACGCTTCAAGGTTGCCCGAGGAAAATTGCCACACCTTGTTGGTTTGGAAAAAGGATAGCCGGAGCACGTTAGTTGCATCTGCTGGACAGAATTTGAATTCATTGATTCAAAGGATAACAATTATAGCATTGCGCAAATCTTCTGATACTGAAGGTACCCCCTATCGTGAGCGTTTGCAATCGGATGGAAAGAGTACTCTTCAAGCCGCAGCCAGTAATTGAGGCGCTCAATCAATAATCTACAGCAAAGATTACCAGCGATTGGCAGAAATTGCTGGTGTTGATTTTCTACCACGATTGCGCTGGAATCCTTCACCTCATTCGATATATTGTATAAAAGTTGTGGTAGAACTGGAACAGAGAGGTCTTGCTGAAGTAATCCATTCCCCTTCCTTACGCAAAATGCTGTCTTCCTTATATCTCAAATTATGCATTCGAAAAGATTCACCTCCGTTTTATGCGGAGAAGTTTTTCTTGGGTTTTCGAAAAGTTTATGTGTAGAAAAAGTTACTCTAATTTGGTTTCCTGCTTGAAATCAGGATTACGTGGGTGTTCAGGTGCGAGGACTCGATTTATCTACTCTGTATTATTTTGCTCAAATGGGTTGCTCGAGCGATGAGCAACTCGAGCTTTTGTGACAGTCCTTGATGTTACGAGTCCACTTCAAGATTTCGAGTGATATGATCCCCTAGTCACTTTTAAGGGTTTTCGTAGTATGTTTGTTCACAAGGAACGGTGATGGAGACATCGTCATTCGCTCAATAGGAGAAAATTCATGAATTCTGACATATAACACTGAACATATGTTTCACTTAGGGAGGTGTTCCATATTCCCTGTCCGGAAAAATCCGGTAACGGCCGACGCGGCATAGCGGGCTGCGGCCACTACCGTAGCGACGTTGTTTTACTTAGGGAGGTGTTCCATATTCCCTGTCCGGAAAAATCCGGTAACGGCCGACGCGGCATAGCGGGCTGCGGCCACTACCGTAGCGACGTAGCCAACGCCGCGATTGAATCAACACACACCCGTGAAACAGCTGACTTCCGAAAGAGCGTCATCTCTACTTGGCGCGTGATGGGTGCGGATGTGTCTAGTGATTGTTTCACGTGCAGCATTGCGTCACTTGCTCTAATCATCACACGGGTTCAGTGGGGAAAACGGACTTGGTCATCCACCACTTGGGACTTCGTTCACGACTACCTCCCCGTCGAAAATGTGAACATGGCTGTGTTTGTGAACGAAGCTACTGGAGAGACAACAGAAAAGTTTTAATTGAATTCTCAACTGAAATTTGGTTCTTTTTCCCAGAAGTCGGCTGTTACAAAGAACATATGTTTTAATTAAGTCGCGGCGTCGGCTAAATTCCTAAGGCGAAGCTACTGCATAAGAGCTTGCCTTTTCTCAAATGTATTGAAAACCAAGACACTCAACCGTAGCAATGCGTCGTTCAGTTGCAGTATATCACGGAGCGCTCAGTGAGCGCTGAAATTTTTGCAGATAATCTTTACATCTTGAAGGTCTCCCTCAAGTGCTTTCCTTTTTTTCAGAAAAATACCGCGACACAGTTCATTTCATCGTCACGAATCATTGATCCAACATCTAGTGAATGCATCAATCCAAGAATGATTAAGGTTTTTCTGCGACGTTCTTACCGATAAAATAAAAATATTGATAGTTCACCATTGTTGTTGCAGGCCGAACTATTAACTGCAGTTGAGCGGCTTGGACCATCACTCCCACCTAACACATTGGATCATCTCATCGACCAACTTGGCGGGCCCGAGTATGTTGCAGAGGTTAGTTTTTGGGCTAACCATAAGGTTTTTGTTTGCTGCTATCAAGGTTCATGCTCATTTCTGAAAGCTGTGTCTCTTGTTGTGTTTTCTCTACGAAACTGTGTTCTCTTGTGATTACAGTTTCTGTATTTATGTTAGCCAGAATGCCTGCAGCACATCAAGTCATTTATTTCTTCATCACAACCTCATTGAAGTATAGGTTTACCGCAGGTACCCAACACCTATCCCCGTCGCACTGGTAGCTTTTTTAGGCCTCTTCTAAACCTAGTCGGCTGTGTTTCGGAAAAGAGAGCATTCTCGTTTTTATACAAAACTGATCTTCAATTTTTTGGTGCTTGTCTCTCGTAACTCGCTGTTTATTTGGCGTTTGATCCAAGGAATACTCTTGGAAAATCACGCCTTCTCCTTTCAATTCCGCGATTTTCTGGTGGGTTCGTTTTGCGACCCGAGAACACATGTTGTCGGGAAGAATGTGAGCAGCGTCATATTTGGGCATCTCCGAATTGTGTCGGCGAACTTCTGGCTTCGGGCAGGGCAGAGCTTGGTTTTCTTGGTCGTGTGCATTTCACGGAATTCTTAGCTCAGAATCGATCTCAATTCCATCAGCAACAGAAAGAGAAAGAATCGATGGTGATTAGACGAAAGTCTCGACATTTTGATAGCGTTGGTAAAGGTGGAGCATAGGAGATTGTGAACGAATGTTGTGGTTGTTGCTGTTGTGATTTCTTGGCTATGGTCTAAGACTTGTTCTCGGGACCACGCGCGTGGTAAGCGGTGCTAATTGCCATTGCACAATTTCTGCCCACGATTACTTCTGCATTTGCTGAAAATATGCGTATGTGAGCTGAGTCAACAGCGTTCGCAAAAACACGTCTGTCCCATGCGGCCAAAAAGCCTGAGTGCGCACTGTCGTTGAAGTTTTAAACACTAACATGTATGTGAAACACACTAACATGTATGTGTTTGGATATCCCATATAATAGTCTAACCTTTAGATGACAGGACGGAAAGGAAGAATTGTCACTAGGGACGATGGAGAAATTGAATACGAGTTGCGTCATGCGGGTGCGGACGTTCCTTTGGAATTGATGAACATGGACGAGAAAGACAAGTTCATGAAAGGAGAGAAGAAGATTGCTATAATATCTGAGGCCGCATCTAGTGGAATTTCTCTTCAGGTAGAAACTTGCTTCTTTGTCTCAGTTCGCTGAAAATTTTTTGAATCGCATTCTCATGAATTGCAGTCCGATCGTCGAGCACAAAACACTCGCCGTCGTGTTCACATTACATTGGAACTGCCGTGGTCTGCAGATAAAGCTATACAGCAGTTCGGTGAGTGGAAGCAGCTGTCCCTTGCTCAGAATCATACTAGTAATCTTTCCATATGGTTAGGAATGGGACATAATTTGTGTCAGTAGTAGGTTCATATGAGGTAATTGTCGTTCAGGTCGAACTCATCGCTCGAATCAAGTAAGCGCACCAGAATATGTTTTTCTTATATCCGAATTAGCAGGAGAAAAGCGGTAAGTGACGCATCATCTCACATTAATATGTGATGTTACCCTTAATGTGATCAGATTTGCATCAATTGTGGCGAAACGTTTGGAATCACTCGGTGCGCTAACACACGGTGATCGTCGTGCGACGGAAAGCAGAGATCTGTCACAATTCAATCTTGACAACCGATACGGGCGTGATGCTCTTGAAGTGCTGCTCAAGTCTGTGACTGGTGCGCTGAATCCACCGCTTATACCTCCACCAGCTGACTATAAACCTGGGGACTTCTTTCAAGGTAAATTGATTTGCCTAAGGCCTATTTGTAATGCTGTCATTGTATTTTCTGAATATTGTGCGTCTGCAGACATGCGGCTGTACATGGAAGGAGTGGGACTACTATCAAAACAACCTAACACTGACTGCTATGTAATTGAAAGAGAAGCGGCTACTATTTCCAAATTCCTTAACCGGTCCGGTTTCATCACATTTATTTTGCTGTGTTCTGCAAGTGTTATCATTCCTTTTTAGAATACTTGGCATACCGGTTCATGCTCAAAACGCTTTGTTCCATTATTTCACTGAAATAGTGGCGGAACTAATCGCACAAGCGAAACTAGATGGCACTTATGATATGGGAATAATGGGTAAGCAGTCTCAACGAAGTGTAACATCTTGACGACAAGTATTTTGTTGTAATGTAATGGGTTCTAGATTTGGGAACTGGTGGAGATCAAGTTCGCAAGTTGGAGACACGAGTGTTTGTTGGAAGAGCTGAAAAAGGTGGATTCCGTGTGGAAATGCAGAAAATTGGTGTCGAAAGAGGTTTATCTTGGGATGAAGCGTTTGCTCTTTACAAGGAGCACAATTCAGATGAGGTAAGATGTTATAGGTGTTTATTGCATCCACATACTAATTTTCCGGCATACTTGATTTCAAAGTTGGCCTTTCTATTCGTCTCATATAGTATCATGTTTGTCAATACACGTTCCGTATGCCAGTGGGAGGGTGTGGACGTCTTTGGATTTCTTCAGAACAGAATAGGATCACTTTCCTAGCACCACTAAATAACCAGTCTTATACTAAACATGCTAAGAATATCAGTTCTACTACCATATTTTTTGGAAACATTCCAGAGTTGAGCATTTTTAGGATGGCTTTTATGTTTCAAATACTTCAAATACGGGTCGACAGGTTGCTGTATTAGTATATGGTATTGGTAAACGTCGCTTCGACACGGGCGCACGGTATTTTTCAATCCTCATTCTTTCGTTGCTGCTGGTGCTTGCTTTCTAAATTCCAATTATTTCTTGACAGACTGTACGCCGTTACCCGTCCTTCGATCGGCCGCTCACCGAAATTAATAACGATGGCAGAAATTTCAAAGCGATTTGTCAAGGTTTCGCCCGACGATGCAAAACAGTTATGGGAAGATCAGTATGCAGGTAAGATTTTGCTGACATGGTTTTACTTAAAAACTTTTATCTTCTCGTACTCAGGTGCCATAGACAACTGCCATCACACATATGTGCACGGCAAATGTAAAAGCGAAGCGATGGGAGTGTATTGCGAAGTAGGGCGTAGAACACGGACATACTTCGTGCTTTCTGGCTCCGTACTTTCCGTTTGGCCGGTTGTCGAAGAAGTTCTTTCGGACCGCGATCGGCGGCCGTCTCGCATGCAAGTAATTCGTGTGAGAACGGAACAGGATCAGAAAATTGTTGGTAAGTCTCAAAGCAACGATCGCTTTATTGCCTTAACAGTGTTGCGATAAATTCTCCAACTTCTCTCTTCTTGCAACCTCGGCATGTCAGTTGTAAGTTTAACAAATTTTCTTGTGCCTTTCGAGGTTGTTCGGTGGAAGCTTTATTAGTGGCCTAACGTTTCGACTGAATCGTCGTCTTCAGAGGCCGTCGGTTCCACCCTTCGAGCGGAAAAGTCCGCTCCCACACAGAGCGCTGATCAGTTAGAACTTAAAAGCTGAACATAAGTTCTAACTGATCAGCGGTCTGTGTGGCAGCGGACTTTTCCGCTCGAAGGGTGGAACCGACGGCGACGATTCAGTCTAAACGTTAGGCCACTAATAAAGGTCCCACCGAACAACCTCGTAAGGCACAAGAAAATTTTTTAAACAATGTTGCGATAGTTTTGTTCGTGTTTAGGCTAATGATAATAAGTTCAGGTGTGTTGGTGTTGCCTCATTTCGTACGCACGTTAGTGGCGCGACTCGAAGAGCACTGTTCTCGTTGCTTCGTGGAGGCGAAAAAGGATGACAAGAAACAGAAACCTCAATAAATCTGTAATACTGCCCGATGACATTTAGACGGGGTTTTGCTTTATGAAATTTCAATCTATAATCTTTCAGAGGCGCTGCCTCCAACACAATAATTGGTCATGAAGCTTTAGGAGTAATACATATTGGTTATCCAACAATCTTTCAAATAATTAAAACTGTCCCTAATTGATCATTCTCATTATATCATGTTATTCATTTGTTATTCATTCGGCTTAAGCTTTTTTCCATTGGAAGTTTTTTTCTGTTTTCTTTTATGTGCTCATTCCGTTAGTTGTCATTGTTATTTTTGATCGTTGTTAGAGCTGTTTCTGTTTCGAAAAATTGCAAAAATTGGGTTAAAGTTCGTCATGTTCTCTTTTTTGCGACATATCGTTCTTCATTCGCCAGTACTCAATTTGATGTAGGAGTGATGATCGCATCCTCATCTCCCTTCCTATCTCTTCCGATATGGTTGCGCGGCAACAATGGAAAGGATCACGTTTGATTGTTACCTGTGTTTGCTTCCTCTATGCACAGTCATTGTTTGTTAGTCGAAATTTCGGTTATTTCTTGCATGCGTTGGGTCGCACTCGTTTATATTAGGCATCAGAAATATAGATTACTGCATCATGTGTGTTTCACCATTGTAACAGCAGGCAGCAGAATTTTGAAGTGCGTGGCCGAGGGAAAGAGTGTCAAATCGAATGCGGTCCCTTTCCTGCATGCGCGCTCACTTCTACTATCCGTAGAGTTGTGGTGAGTTAAGTGCTATTTGGCCTATGCAATAACTAGCGGGAGCCGGCAGCGTAAAAGCCAGCATTTTATACTCTCAGAATCACAAACCAATCATCTGACCCTAATGCAGTCGCATGGTGGTTGCTGACAAGCATCAGTCTAGTTCTGTATTCCACAACAGCTTATCACGGTAAGTCCAGCGGGAAAAGAGCAGCCTATGGAGCGGTAAGCTAAGCCATTCTACGGAGCAGCCTACTATTACATTCTACGGAGTAGCCTACTACTACTAGATTCTTTAGAGAGACGATCGAACGGTCCACATGCTGCCCATTTTCACCGAATTCGACCATTTCATGTGCGCGGTAGCATACGGAGCTAAACTGGTTTCCCTTTTAACCCATAACGGACGGCCAGTGTATTTTTCGTGTGCGCCACCCAGGGTAAGGTTTATATAGGCTTATGTGAACAGCAGGGGTAAGACGGGGCTAAGGTAGGTGTCGGAGTCTCATCATACGGAAAAAGAGATTTCCGTTGACGACAAGTTCGTAGCCCGCCTTTCCGGTACAAAACTAGGGTGCACAGAATGAATGGAAGCTGTAGGTGACATCATCGAAAAATGACGAAATAACAACCCCAAGCAAGGATGTGGCTATATTTAGGGGGAGGGGTGTCGGGGCGTGCGAACCATGGGTAAGCCACCCATCAAATAGTAAACTTATGTAAATTAAGACAAAATGTATGTAAAATTTATTGTAGGTTTGTCCAGCCGTCCAGGTCCTGGGAAGATATGTTTCCACATTGCTGAGTGTATATATGGGTACATTAAGATTGCTGGAAACATTCCAAAAACAAAAAAATAGTCGTGTGCCACTTTGCAGCTCACGCCGTCCGTTATGGGTTAACACGTTGACGACAGCGTGACGCGGTAACGCGTCCCACTTTGCACTTCTCGTGGGACATTGTGACGCGGTAACGCTTCCCACTTAAGTCATCCCCGCGACTTATTCCTAAGGACTTTGTACTCTTTCTATAGGCCATACATTAGCATACTTAAAAACCACATGGCTCACAGAAAAGACAAATCTTCTTTGGTTTGACAGAGGTTTTCCAGACCTTACAGATATGTCCGTTCAGTTCAATCCTCGTTTTCTTTTCATTGACGTAAACATGCTGGTAAGAAAGAATGAAAGAAGCGAACATAAACCTATTCGTATGGGAAGATAAGTACACTGCTCCGCATAATTATAAAGCCACCCGTTAATTGTTCAAAAACTCGAGTTTCACGATGGCCCTAAAAAAGTTTCCGAATAAGAAATGTGTCAAATTTGAAGGTGGTTCTTCACACCAATACCAAATTCCATTATGGAAACCCAGAAAAGTTTCTTTTCATTTCTTTTAGAAACAGTCGGTTTGCCTATTCCGCAAAATTACACAGCCACTTCGTATTTCCTCGCCGTTTTTCATTTTTGCCTGACAAAATTGTTTTGTTGTAGTGAGGTTTTCTCTTCCAGACTATGGCCAAAGGTAAACTGTTGTCGGGCTTTGAAAAAGGAGAAATATCCGCGAAAAAGAAGCAAGGATTGTCCAACCGTCAAATCTCTCGGGAAATGGGTCGCAGCCATGCAGTTGTCGACAACTTCCTCAAGAATCCTGCTGGATATGGAACCAAGAAGAGTACTGGACGTCCATCACTGCTATCTGAACGAGATAAGCGATGCATTTTGAGAGTCGTCTAATTCTGTCAAGTCCTGCACGGAAATCAAATCTTCTCTGAAGCTTCAAGTGTCAACGGATACAGTTTATCGGGTCATAAAGAAGTCCAAATTCATACTCGCACGTAAAATGAGGAAGGAAATGAATTTGCCAAAAAGTACGGCCGAACCGACAGGAGTAAGATGCCTCTCAAGCCCAACGTTTGTTTTCCTTTCTCCTAATGGTATTCTTCTTAAGGTTGTTTTCTCCGATGAGAAAAAATTTAATTGCGACGGTCCGGATGGAAATCGCTTCTACTGGCATGATCTCAGGAAGGAAAAGCTGCATTTTTCGAGACGCAACTTCAAGGGAGTCATGGTCTGGGGCGCAGTAACATCGAACGGGCGTCTGAAGTTGTGTTTCGTTCCGAAGAGGATGGATCCTCCGTTTATCAGGTGGTCATGCGCCGTGCTCTCCTTCCCTTCTGGCACCAAAATCGCCAGAAAAATCTGTTTACATGCAAGACAATGCACCGATCCATGTCAGCCAGAGCAGCCAAGCCTGGTTCCGTCGCCATCGAATCGACCTTTTGGAATGGCCAGCGAATAGCCCCGATCTCAATCCAATGGAAAACATATGGGGCTTCATGGTGCGGAAGATCTACGCCGGAAACGTACAGTTCCCGGGGGGTCAAAGAGCTCAAGAAGGCCATCATCGAAGCGTGGCACCAGGTCGACAAGAAACTCATCGACAACCTCTATTTGAGCATGGACGACCGAATTTTTCAGCTCATTAGGAGAAGTGGAGGCCCAACAGACTACTGAGTTTAAGATTACTTCACTTTGTTTGTTGTTACGTTATTCAATAAATTGATATGTTAAGTGGCTGTATAATTTTGCGGAATAGGCAAACCGACTGTTTCTGAAAGAAATGGAAAGAAATTTTTCTGGGTTTCCATAGTAGAATTTGGTATCGGTGTAGAGAATCACCTTCAAATTTGACACATTTCTTATTCGGAAACTTTTTTAGGACCACCGCGAAATACGAGTTTTTGGACAGATAATGGGTTATAATTATGCGGAGCAGTGTATTTTCACCCAAACAACCACGTCCGAATCAATTTCGGAACCACTAAAGGAAAAGATGTAAAATTAGCCTTTTCATGGCCTTAACACGTCATTTCGGTTGAAATTCTAGTACTGTAACTAGTTAAACAGATCGAACGCCATTGAAAACACTATCGCATCTGAGTAATCCGTATTTGCAGCTCAAAATCCATGAATTAGGTGTGCGGCAGCGTGCTCACAAATCGCCCTGGTTCCACGCGGTGCAAAAACGCAAAACGCGCAATGTCGTCAATGTGTTAAGATGCTATCCAGACGGTTGAAAAAGTGGCAATGAATAGATAAGAGGCCTAGTGACGTTTGCCACATCATTCGGTACTTCACCTAGTTCATTCCTGCAGGGTTCCGCGGTCGGCGGCTGTGTTGTATCACGTGGAAGAGACAGTATATTCATGGCGGCTCTTGCTCGGCGGCGTGCCATGGTTTCTGTGTATTTTGACACCTTGCAAGTAATACTGTCCCAATATAATAATTGCGGCTGTGCTCGTAGAGCTGCCCTGCTGCAAACCGAGCAGGCAGCACAACCTTCTCTTCCTGGACTTTCGAATTTACGAGATTTTCTTGACCCTAGTCGTAATCGAACCATTCTGACCTTCTGGCTCATTGCAAATAATCCATTCTACATCGCACTTCATATCCGAGCGAGAAACTGCCCATTTTTATTGGATGAAGCAACTGGACATCAATAAGAATCCATGGGAAGTTTCCAGCCAGAATGCATCATCACTTCTCGGACTGGCCACTGTCCGCATTGATACTGAACGAAGTCTTTTTTGGAACGCATCGTGCGTGTTGTGTAGGTGGGCGACGTCGAGCTAGAGTCAGCCGTGCGTTGCGCAGTTTCGCCCGATTAGACACGTCCTCTCGCGCGAACATTCACACTCTTATGCTCGAGCCGTCTGTGCTCTCCGCCTTACAGCGTGCGTTGAGGATCTCTCAACGTGCCGTTGAGAACTGCGCAACGCACGGTTGTGCCGTTGAGAACTGCGCAACGCACGGTTGACTCTGCGTCGAGCCTTTCCTAGGCTCTTATTCAACTCATCGAACGACACTTTGAATAGACTGTCGTCTCTAGCAAACCTTGTGCAGAATAACCCTATAGACTAAAGCTAGTATAGTAAGGTTGCTACTAGTTTGATGACGTGAATTCCTTCAAGTTTTGCCCCACCAATACGGCATAATTTTACTTCGTGTGCAGGTGGCTTGCCTTGCTAGTGTGCTCAGTGGTTTCACTCGGAGGTATCTCTAATCGGATGCATTTATTAACCATGAACGAGTTTAAGATATTTTGAACAGGTCCTGTTACCGTAAAAGTTGCCCGTCTACAGGGGTTGCCAGAAAAGACACTTTGTCCATGGCGCACATCACTTTTCGTCGCATAGGGAGCCGATGTTAATGAAAGTTTAACGGCGGAATATTCCTTAGTTGTTCTCCCGTGAACAGAAGCAGGCCCTCCTTCACTGCCCCTC